TTAGACGCCCTGTACTTCTACATTCAAACCAAGGCCAGCCTTGAAAACATCAGGCGGGGTGTGGATTTTGAATGGGATCATTATTTCCAGAATATTGGGCCAAACTATAACCTGGTAGAAATAGGCTGGAGGATTTTGAAACAATTGTACAAAAGATGTGACTCAAAAATAAATTTGAGACAAAAAGTTAAATACAGCACCCACCTAATTAGACTGAGTGGATACAGCCCCTGCTCTTCCTAGGCATAGCTCCAGGTCCTTCGGAAATTCAAATCCAGTGTTTCCACTGAAAGCCTCTGACACACCTCAGTGGCAGAGAGGTCTGCCCACAAACCTGCCTTTGCTGATTCAGGGTAAACTCATCCTCAGTTATATCCATCAAAAGCTGTCTGGCAATAGCACCAGAAATGTGTTCTCTTGCAATAATTTAAATAATAATTACTTTATAGAAATAATTTAAAGGTAAATTTATATTGGCCATTCAGCAAAGGCTGTTTATATGAACAGTTCTTCTTATTCATTCATCATATTCTTTAAATTGTTTCAAGAATAAAATATGTTGTATTGAAGTAAGGAGTTAGAGAAGAGACTTGGTCTGGTCAAACTTAAAGGACATAATTTTTATAAACAAAAAATCATTGATTAAAAAAAAAAACAAATTTAAAAGTAATCAGAAGCCTAGTATATGGAATAGAGAAGGGAAACCAGGAAAGGCTTTTCTCCAGAAAGCATTCCCAAACACTATTTGAACTTCTCTACATTTTTATGATTACTTCTGACTTGAGGGAAAGGATAAACCTGTGAGTACTAGCCAAAAACTAGAGCAGAAGCCTAAGTAAAATTTTGAGATGTTTTCTCCTTTTTGCAACTGCTGAGACAAGTCAGAGAGGGTAAAGAAAGAAGCTGATGAGTGAACTTTGCTTTCTGATTCTTTCTGGAGATTTCCAGTGCCTGGAACCAAGGAGGAGAAAGTCTCAGCTATCCAGCTCAGTCCTCGCCCAGTGAATGTCCATGGGACACCCCGAAATAGAGGGAGAATATGGTATTTTTAGGGTCCCTCATGGCAGGAAGGAAATGATGAAGCTGACTCCGTGTTCTTAGAAGGGTAATTTATTATTACATTATATTATATTATATTACATTGCATTACATTACATTACATTACATTACATTATGCTATACTAAAACTATACTAAAGAATAGAGAAAGGATACTTACAGAAGGCTTAACAAGATACTAATTAAAAACCTGTGACTCTCGCCAGAGTCCCGACACAGCTGAACCGTGATTGGTCATTAAGTGAAAACAACTCACATGAAACCAATCAAACAACAACCGGTTGGATAAACAATCTCCAAACCACATTCCAAAGCAGCAAAACACAGGAGAATCAAATGAGATAATACTGTTTTCCTTTTTCTCTGAGGCTTCTCAGCTTCCCAGGAGAAGAATCCTGGGCAAGGGGATTTTTCCAGAAAATATGACAGTGACACAAGAAGGTCACAATAGAGGAATGTCTCTACATTAGGCATGGAGCAGAATAAAGGAAGGGAAGCACAGGGTAACCATATTCTCTTCATCTCACCTTCTCTGCAGGGCAATGATGCATTTTCTAGCCCAGGCAGTGCATTCTCATTATTTGTTTTCATCCTCTTTGTGGCAAAATTTGATTTTGCCTCCATTGCTGTACTGGGCTATACTTTTTGAGGAGTCTGAGGTCCGCTTCTTGTGAGCTACCACTTTATGGCACCACCCAGCTCTTACCAGAGTTCAGTAAGTCAGAGCTTATTACATCTTCCTGCCTAGTCAGACATAATATTAAGAACTAAAAAATTAACATAATACTAAATTAACACAATACAGAATTTCAAACCCATCATCCTGTAACCTGTAAGAGTTTATGAAATTCATTGGGTGCCCAGAGGGGCATGAGATGTTCTGTCTTGCCTCTACTGCTCTTATTTCTCAAATGGTTGGAGGCATAAAAGGTCTGGGGTCTCTGCCTCTTGGGCTTTGTCAGCTACAATGATGGAATTCCATCTCATACATTGACCTGTTGTCCGTTCTCCAGGAGTCAGAAGATATTGCTTCCTCTTTCACAGTTTATATACATCTGGGCCCAAAATCTCTTCTATTGAGAATTCCATTTAAAGGCTTCCAGGTTGTAGATTCTCTTAATCAGCTCATACATGCCTTTTGGACATGGCTGCTCCCGAGATCCTCATTGGAAGCTGCCCCAGGATGTTTAAGACCTATCAAAACAGCTGGTATTTTAAAACCTCAAAGGTATCTTTTCTAGATTGCTTCATGCTACTTCCACAATGACAATCTTCATTTCTTATGGCTTATATATCCAGTGGAAGAGAAGCAGCAAAATAGTTATATGTCAAGTTTAAATGCTGCTTTGATTACAGCTTTGTTCACTGTCCAGTACAAGTCAGCAGCCAGAAGATCGATGCCCAGATACAGATTCTCTGCCACAGATGACATAATGAGTGATTTGGACCTCATAAGTCTGTTGGACAAAGATTGAAGAGAAGCAACGGCTCAGTTTATATTTATTTGATAATATATTCAAATATACTGAAATATTCATATTTCTCATGGGGAAACAATAGAAAACTTATTATGTACTGCAGAAACTAATAAACTCATAAGCGTTTTACTTTTTATGCATAATTAAGCTAGTCACTGTTTCTGTTCCTGTGGTGTGCAACATAAATCATTGATAAGCAATTAAAATAAAACCCAAGCTTTTGAAAACATTAAGCTAACATAAAATTATTCACTTGTCACATTAAATGAACATTTATCCAATTCCTACAGCTTAGCTGTGTGACCTCCAGCTACTACATTTTGATACCTCTGAGAAATAATTTTATCCTTAAAACTTCTAAATACCTTAAGACTTAAAATGAAACTTTATATGTCCTTTATGCAAATGATCTGATCAAAAATTCCAGTTGCACTCAGACTGCTCATACAATCCACAGGAAACCAGTGTTCTCTTTTGACTTGCCACACTGTTGGGGTACTTCTTTTTTAAAGTCTTTGGGTGGGGTTATCTGCTTTTTGCAGTCTTTTGGCTAGTATCAGCCACCTCAGTGAGGAGACTTAACTATTTTGTGGGTGATTTCACCCTTTCCATCAAACCGATAATTTGAACATTTTAGTTTAATTGACTCGAAGCCAGACTAGACCAGCCTGGGAGGTGTAAAGAAGCAGCAGTGACTCAGTGGATCCCAGAGAGCTCGTATAGTGCATCCCAGAGGGTTGACAGTGGCTGTGTAGTTGGCTTTTTTGGCTCTGCCTGCACTGCTAGAGGTAAAGAAATATGTAGGCTGTCACCTAAATCCATTCAGGTATAGTCTAAAACTTAACTCTATTCTGCTGGTAGTGCATATGGATGCACTCAGAAACCTTCACAGTGGATTATGCTGATTTCTGCTTGAGCGCAGCTACCAAAGCCTCTAAAATCCATTGATGTCTTTCCAAAACCCATAGACCCAACCAGAATAACAATCTTTTAGGACATTTTCATCTCTTTAAAAGCTTGAATCCAAGGGCTCTGAGGCACTAAACAAATCAAACGACTGGGTAATAGAAATGTCTCAGCCCATTTTACATGTAAGGAAGCAAATGCATTGATAACTTGATGCAGGTCCCATGTGAAGAGGAAAACAAGGCCAGTGAGACCCATGTGGTACAAACCTTTACACTTTCCTTGCCTCATTATAAATTCAGGTCCTGCCCCAAAAAGATAAAATAAAAAAGATTTATTAAATCAACATAACCTTAGTCTGACTGCTCTTCAAAAAGAGTGAACATCATCTATGCCAGAGCCTGGAAGACTCTACTCCTGCCTGAAAACAGTGTCACAGGGCAGATTGAGTCAGTCTAACTCAATGCACCTTCCCCACCTCTGTAGCCAGAACACAGCAGTGTGAGACCTTCAGGCTGTGAAGAGGGAGCAAACTGGAAAGTAAAATCTGGATATGTTCTATGAGAAAAAATAGAAGTAGCTTTAGATTGAAGAAGAGGAAAAGATATCCAGCGAAATAAAAAGGAACCGAGAAAGAAAAAAGGGAAATTATAAAATTGGGAGAGAAAATATCCAGACTCACACTGCAGGTATTCAGTTTCACTTGTACAAAATGGGAGCCTATTGCTCAGAACACCTTTGCAGCCAAGGGAAGGAAAATCTCCACTGCAAGAAGGGACTCAGACTCAGTCCCCCATAGAGGGAAATTAAACTGAAATGGGTAAAAAAATAGGAGCAGGAGGAAGAGAGTGCTGGTAATGCGCTGTGATTACAAAGTGAACTGGCTTGGGATGCAAGCAGCATCACAAAGGAGACCTTGGCCTGCAGAAGATAAAAATATCCTGTCCAAGAAGTTGTAGGTTAAGCAGGAAAGCCTGACAAGCAGAGGCTATATACCCTAAGCACAGCTGAATTATCTTTTTGTTCATACATACACTCACATTTAATTAAGTTATGATATTGTCAAGCCTTTGGCATACTGCCTGCTGTATAAACATTACTGGCACAGATATTCTATAATTCCATTACAGACTTACTAATTCAAATGGAGGAGCAGGCAGGCATGAAACCAGCTCGAAATTTCATCTGAAACCCACCTCTGCTTCAGACAGAGAAATGCCATGTGCCAGGATGGCAGCAATGCCTTCACTCACAGGAGCCACCCAAGGTCTCTACTCCCATCCTTAGTGTATTAGCAGACAAACATCAAGTCATTCTTGTATCAGCACAGCAGCTCAGGATGATCCCCATGCACAACAACATCATCAGAGCTCGAAGGAGCTGCTGTTGGATTATTAAGTTTGCTATTGGTGGGATTCAATTATTCCTGCAGTATTTATGTAAGAGTCATCCAAAGGGGCTCCAGCTGGGAAAAACCCTCCATTTTACTGGGAGACAGTTTTTTTTTTTCTCAAAAGGGGCTTGCAGTTTCAGCTGATGATACACAGACAGAGGAAAAACAGAGGCAACAAGAAGAGATTTTATTATGGTTGCACAGAAATACAGGCAGCAGGCAGACACTAATTCTAAAATGACACTTTTATATTAGCAGACATCCAGTAAAAACATAACTACATACCCTTCAATAGTTAAAATAGAAGAAAGGCAATTTTAGACCAATAAAATAAACAAAAACTCATTTATCACAATAACAAGAAAATGTATGTTAGACATGTAGAAATATTAAACTTTGGAAGATAAAGGAATGGAGAAAAATATTTTACCACCAGAATTGGAAGACTCCTTAAAAAATACTTCATCACCAGAATTGGAAGCTCCTTAATTCTTATCTCCCCACTGTGCTATTGTCCTGTATTATTTGTAATTGAAAGTGCATGCTTTGATGTACATAAATGAAAAACTTACAGACTGGGGCTCTTCTCTTAGATTCTATAAATCCTGGAACATTAGTTTTCACCACACATAGCACGCTAGAGATTCCAGTTTTAGCTGCTTTTGTACTTACCCTAAGAATTAAAGCTTCTTCTTCCAAATCTTGTTTGATGTCAGCTCAGGTGCTAGACTGGTTTGCAGTGCTTGGCCTGGTTCATTTTTCTCACCAAATTTCCCCAACCTATGTGAATTCCCAGAGAACCTCGTGGGTCCAGGAGGGAAGCCCTGCATGCTGTAATGGACAAACATCTGACTCAGTGTCCTATGGTAGAAATGGGATACTTTAGAGCTGGGGAATCATCACACACAACAGAAAACAGGTGTCCATTCTCAGAAGCTCAAGACTGAAGAATCCACAAGAGTTGAGATTCAGATTTCCATTAACACTTATGCTCTTGATTACTCTTTTATCAATAATTTTACAGACACCAAGAGCACGTTTGTCTAAGTCCTAAGGACCTGTACTGCACAAAGAACATGTAGGCAGCATTTCTGATACCCTGCCTTACACCAGCACCACGAAACCACCCTTTCAAAGCAGGACACTGTAGTTATTTGACTGTGATGTGCCCACTTGTTTTTCTAATTAATAGGTGTTCTTCTACCTGCCAAGCCACCATGAGCTTCTCTTTCTCAGAAGCATTTGTTTTCTGAAACAGTTGCATCTGGTCTCTCTTTTAAAAAAAACTGCAAGCATGTCCTGTAAAGGTACCATGGATTTTTCCTGTGTCCCACTGGATGTTGAACTAGGAAAGCCCTTAAGAGCAATGGACTAAAGCAAAATAAATTCAGTGCAGTTGCTTCAGTTCCTGTTGACTTCCTTCATTCCAAGTACCAATCCTTAAATGATAAAGAAAATAGATATTTACCTACTATATTCACTCATTTTCATATGTATTTTTAACAAAAACTTCCAACAGATAAAAAAATTATATCTTAATCTGCTCCTTCTCCTATTTGTTCAAGGCACCGTTTTTTTATTTCTCAGCTGCTGGATCTTAAATTTTCTCTTGCATCAGCCCAAGTTATTCGTACCATTTGTATTACCAACTCTTGAAGCACTTTTCTGACACTTCTTGGTTACAGAGGTAATAAAGATGGGGTTGGTTTCTAGTTCTTGTAAGGCTTATTATGTGTATATATATGCATACGTATATGTGTGCACTCTACATATCTGTATCAACGTAGCAAACATGCTTGCATCAACATATTTAAATTCTAATGCAATTGAATTTTCATTTGCCTTTTAAAAGTCTGTGTATACAAACTAAAAAACTCAATCCAATCAATGCTGCACTCAAACTGCTGTCACTCAAAAAAAACCCCAACAAAACCAAAACCATACTCATTCTTTTAGAAGACTTCTGAAGTCCCCAAATTGGCATCTATAAATAAATAATAAGTGTTTTAGAATTCCTACTACATTCAGATCTTCACTTTCAGCAGTCCTTCAGGAGAAATTATTGCCTTCCTTCCTTCCTTCCTTCCTTCCTTCCTTCCTTCCTTCCTTCCTTCCTTCC